GGAGGGGGTTGTAGGCGGGGGAGGGGGTTGTAGGCGGGGGGGGGGGGGGGGAGGGGGGGGGGGGGAGTTTTTCAATTTGAAGGCTTTGGGGGGGGGGGGTGGGGGGGGGGGGGGGTATCGCATTTCAGTTTAGCTTCTCTCCACTCCATTCACTTCATCTTCGTTGTAGATTCGTGTTGAACGCGATACGCTCTTTCGTTAAACGCATCCTTCATCCCTTCGCATCCTTCATCTCTTCCGGCGGAGCGAGTTCCGTCGTCGAGGGATTCTGCGTCCACGAGACGGAATAATGGTCCTGTGATTCTAGGGCGTTTCCTCGGCGGGTTATAAAAAACCGCGAAGGAACCGCAGGCAATGAGCGAACGGACAGCTTTCACCGCGGCGGGGTGGATGCTAGAAAAATTGTTGAAACTCGCATTGAAGTTTCAACGAATATTTGGCCCGGAGTGAAATCGAAGAGAGTTCGGACTGCGAACAAACATGATGGAATGAGCCTGCTTTTTTTTTCAGACTGTGACGATGCTGGGGCTGCAGTGAATTTCATTTTCTGAAAGTAAGGAGTTCCCATCCTTAAAAAAAAAAAAATGCTGTCGAATGTCTCTTGTTTTCAGATGATCCAATGTGAAAGGAGTCGAACGAACCAGTGATGAGCAATAATAAAAGTCACGAAAAAATGTGGAAACCATACAACTGGCAAGGGCGTATGATATCGTAATAAACGCATTTAATTTCCCTCCAAAGGAATTCGCATCGAGACGGAAGGAACGAAGAAGAAGGAACCAGACGGCGAAGATTAATTCTCAAAAAAGCTGCAAGAAAAACTCTTCAGCGGGCCCTCAGCAGCAAGATCATCATCATCAGCATCAGCATCAGCGCCTGAACGGAAGGAAATATCAGCGTGCCTGCGATCACCAATTTCGACAGATCCGTGCCCAATGCATTGGCCATCGTGGGGATCTACGAAGCGGTGGGATTCCTCGCGCGAGAGTTTCTGCTTCGATGTCCATCATGTAGTTTGTTCGCCGGTTGACTTTTCGATTTCCTTTGGGGAAATTCAATGCATCATGCAACTCCCATTTTAGCCTCATGTAATTAAGTTTCCATTCAAGATAGGTTCCTTCAACTCCCATTGTTGGTAGCCACCGTGAAACAGCTCAAGGCGTGTCTTTGGTAAAATACTGCACGAAAAGAAATGAACAAATTTTGCATGATGCAAGAGGATGCAAGTTTATAAGATGCAAGTTTGCACTACCGACTGATACCGCGGAGATTGTTCGAGCAAGTCATCGAATAGAGAATTCCTTTCCGAATGAAGTTCTTTCCATTCCGAGGGAGGAAAAGGGACTTCGCCTTCGTTTCCTCCCCAGACGGGAACCCCCCGGGGGGGGGGGGGAAGCTCACCCACATACACCCACACACACCCACATACACGCGGGGTCGATGGAGCGCCTCGATCCATCGACCCCGCTTCTCCGACCTCAGTCGCGTGTGCGTTGCGGTCTGGTCAATGGAAGGGCCGATAGGTAAGGTAATTTGCAAAAAAAGTCCAAATATAGCGTAGTAGGTTTAGTTCTCATAGAACCTTGTTCCTATCATAGGAAATCATAGTTTTTTTTTTGGTATTATGTGAAATAAGAATTTAACTGGCACACAAAAGAAAACATGAATAAATCTCCAATGAGATGAGACGTTTTTAGGAATAAAAAAAACATTCAGCATGTTATAATCGTGACACGAACGACATTTGGACTTCGAGAGTACGCCAACTAAACCTCCGCATGCACACAAGAGAATCAGCAATGGAATCCGGGGAACCCCTCCAATGAGAATCCGAAAAAAAAACGATTCGATGGAAGGGTTCTAAGGTGAAATGGTCTATCCGAAAAAAAAATTCCAAAAATAAAAGAGTTGGCTTAGGGTGCATAGGACTTTGTTCCTTTCATAGAAAATTATAGTTCTTTGGAATTATGTTATGGATGAAGTTATCTACCAAAACCTACCTATTTTTCTCACTTTAGCCATGACCGTCGCTAGAATATTCACTTTTCCGTTTGGAGCTCCAGGAAATAATTTTTTGCAGATGGCAAAGTCGTCTTTTACACGCCCAATTCACTCTCCATTTGATGACCGGTAACCATTACGGTTACGGTTAGGCAATGGAAATCCCCATTCCATCCGATGGTTGAACATGAGAGACGATGGCTCCCGTGATTTATAGAAAAAACGAAAATATCGTGCTCGAAAATCTCCAAACTCACAAGATTGTTTGGAGATGGAATCCGGAGAACCCCTCCGATGAGAATCCGAGAAAAACCGATTCGATGGACAGCGAAACCAGACTGATGACCTCGGGGCCCCTTCTTTCCCCTTCTTGCAAAAGCACGTTTTGACACGCACTGGCACAGCCTCTGGCTATATTCGCTCTCAACTCCCCGATCTATCCGAATGAACAACGTAACGTCACTGAAATAAATAAAAAAAATGCCTGAGCATTTTCCTCATTCATCGGTATGAGAGTCATACACGACGGATGGAGAGACGGATGACCGAAAGGGACTTGGTTTTCTCAGCTCGAGGCAGGCGGCCTCGTATTTCCAGGTCCAGTTGAGGAACCTCGGCATCGCCTCGATCCCAGAGCCGGGATCCCGAAAACGCTCGCCTGCCGTTCGGTGTGTAAGTGAGACCCTCTTTCGTTATTCGACACTCCCCCTTCGTGTAACCCTCAGTCATTGCAGCCATGGGGTCGGCGTCGAACCGGCTCGGTGTGATGAGGTCCGTGAATGCCATGCACTGGGAAGTTCGGTTTCGTGGTTACGATTGGAACTTCTCATTTCCACGTTCATGTTGATGTTTTGTGGCATGATGTGGAAAGACAGGGAATTCATAGTCAAATCATGAAACAATGTCTGAAAATGTAGGTGAAAAAAAATTATCAGGGAACCACAAGAGTAATATCTCCAGTCAAAAACGTTTGAAATAGCATCCTGTTTCTTCCATGGCAAAAAGGTCTGAAGATTTTATCGATCAGATAGTGAGTGTCCTTGCACGTACGAGATTCAATCCGAGTTATTTTAACTTTCGGAGCCCAAAAATGGAAAAGAAGGAAAAGTGCATCCCTTGTGATCAGTCCTGCAAGGCGTCGAGGCGGCGCTTCCACCTGGCCGACTGATACTTCCTCAAGCGCGCGACGTACTCCCGGTGTTCCACGGGACATGGGTAATACGAAGGTAGCTGCCGAGTCGTTGGTAAGTGCCTTTGACACGAAAATCTAGGGACATTTCTCAGAGATGCTATACGATTGAAACTCCGCTTCGACCCCGTCATGCGTCCATCCGTGATTGGACTGTAAAATTCCCTCTCAATAAAATAAATTAGAAATACCGAGTTGCACGGCATGTAGTTAGGTGATTATCGCCAAGAGACCACAGTGTTCTTCCTCGGGTTGAATGATAGGGCACCGAGAGAAAAATGAGACCGATAGATGACTTCCGTGAGAAGGAAATACTTCTCAGCCTCTCTGTCGAACACGAACTTGACGGAGATTCCCTCCACCGGGAAATCCCTCTCCAGGCTCCCGTAGATCCTCTCCAGGTTGAAGAGGAACTTCTCCAGCGCCCTATCCGCTTCTCCCTTGAGTTTGTCCTCCATACGCTTCCGAATACACGACGCATATACTCCTTCCTCATGGGATTTCCCCGAATTAGACCCCGAAGACGTTAAGTCTGCGAAGGAAATGGAAGGCGCAAGAGAACGCCACGTTCACTCCTAGAGAAACCCTGGACCAAGACTGGACCCATTGTCTTAGATTCATTGCCAAGTCCAATTTGGACCCTTATCTCCCCCCCCCCCTCCCTCCCCCTCCCTACGTATCTCTCATATTCCTGAAAGTCATGTTGAGGAAGGCTTCATCATGAGGTCCAGAGATTCGGCAGTGAAAAAATAATTTCACGCAATTCAAGCTAAAAAGTAATACCAACTTATGATAACAACTTATGATCTTCAATCGATACAAGAGCCAGCCTCTCAAGCGTTTCTTTAACAATAGCTGAGTTGAGATGAGTGGAATCAAAAAAGACATCAAAGAGAATTTTCGATTTCCAAAGCAGAAACTAAGCACTTCATTGCAAGAAAAAACGAGCATGAATTTTATTTTGTATCATATACACTGTGTGTCAAAAGCCAGAATACTGTTACGGAGGGGAACTTGGGAGGGGAACGGCATGAGAGGACGAAAGAAGCCAAGGAACGGCCGGGAATTGAACCCGGGCCTTCTTATTGCCGGTCAGGTGTGCTACCAGTACACCACCGATCCCCGGACATTCAGTCGAGTCTCTCGATGCCATCCTTATCCGTCACAATACCATTTCAAACTGCAATAATTTCCAAACTGGGACAAGTACGTCACTGTTGCAAGCATGGATGGAAAGGACATCCTTCAGAATTTCTTTCACGATAATGACTTGGTATCAGACTCAGATGGAAATAGCTTCGAATATGTATGATGAAGACGTGCTTATTCAGGATGATTCATGCTATACCTTTTCCAGTCCTTTTATTATTAGCTAATTGTTATGGTTTTTCTCTCCTCAATTCAGATAGACTTGGGGAGCAGAAAAATAGAGAGATTTCTTTAAATTTCCTATCGCTGTCATGAGAAAAAACTTCGCAATTGACGCCGAAGCAACGAAATTTCCAGCAGGATGGAGTTCTTCGAGAGTCCCGTCAAAGTCCAAAGGGATTTTCGGTGATTTTTTGGTGCTAAGCTTCATGACAAATGAATTGATGTGGGCGGAGGGAATTTTTTAGGCAATTTCAAAACTCAGAATTGCCTTTATTTTCAACAAAGATAATTCCTAATGACATGCTATCAATTAGTTAATGCATCATCTTTTTTCTGCAAACTGTTCAGTAATAGTTTTTTTGAAATGGTATAGGAACTAATGGGATACCCTGTATATCATCCATAATTTCTCAAAGCGTATTTTCAAACTTTCAAATTACACATAGCATCGCCAGTCGACCACAAACTAAGGAATTCGCTCCTTACGGGCTCATTCCGGCACCGTCTCTGAGTGGTAATGTCGCCTGACCGCCAGGTACTTCTTCAAACCCACGACATACTGCCTCGCCGTCTCAATGTGGAACGGCATAAGGAGCCTCACCGGTACGACAGGGATCTTGTAGTCAACAGACATGACCCAGCGTAGGTAAGTCCGGGTCACGAGATCGGGGTCGGGCGAGAATACCTGGCCGCTGCCTTTCACGATCTCCGCCCTGATTTGTTTAAATGCTACAGTATGTGTAGTTTCCATCACGTCATATGGATGTTCGTATTTTGTACTAAAGTCGCTGACATTCATCAATAAAACGCTTGTTTACCTGACGTTTTCCTTAGATTCCAGCCCCGGCCACTCCGTGCTGCACAGGGAGATGAAGCATGCCTCCTTGTCCTTCCGCACGTGGCTGTGGAAGACGACGTCCCTGCCAGCGACGATGCCCCCGAGCTGCGGCTCCAATACCTCGTGCACCACCCAGCACACATCCGTCAGTCGCTGTCGGACGAGGAGTCGAGCGTCATCGTTGCGAAACGATCTCGTATCGAATTCATTTCTGTCTCCTGTCTTTGAAATCATTATGCGCTTCTTCGAACGTGGCTCGCTCTGGAAAGACTCAAAATTCAGCAAATTTGAGCTGAGGAATTCCAGAGGGGTAAAAATGATAACACTTCCCTTAGTTATTTTGGGTTAACTTTGTTTAAACTGGATGCAATTCAAGGTGGGTCACTTGATCACCTTCGATCACCACGGGACACTCTGGGTCACTATGGGCCACCATCGGTAGCCAAGGCTATTGAATCCCATTTGGTCAAAATCGAAATCTTACTCTTGTTACTTGGATCACCCTGGACAGAGTTCGGTAAACTTGGATCACTTCTGGATAATCAAGCTCAAATTGAGTGAATGGGTCAATTTCAATCACTTTGGGTTACTCATTATTCCCCTGGGTTGCTACGACCTCATTCTGAGATAAATTGAATTCTTGCATTCCAGTATGAGCTCAGATTGACTTACCAGTTTCAGACAGTCTAGGTTCTAGAAAAGACGACCACATCATTTTCCGATGGTTCTAGGCCTGTATATTAGGTGAGTCCAAAAAGTGAAGTCGAGTCTCTGTATGTAATATGCCGACCAATCACCCAAATTGTTTACTGCTTGACCCATCCACGGGAGCTACTCGATGGCATGATTGGGACTCACCTTGACGATCGTGAATTTCTTGCAAGCAGAAAACCAGTCGGGAGTGGCTTCTAAGGTGTGGTCCCGCATTTCTATCAAAAGCAAATCGTACTCGAAATCCAGCGGAGCCTGCAATGAGATCGTCGCAAATTCGAAGCGGCCAGTGAGAATGTGACTAAATGATCCATTAACAGTCGAGAAAGTTCACGCTCTCTCTCTCATTTGAATGGATCCTCACTTCTTCATTATATTTATAAAATGGGGCCAGAGAGAGTGGATGGGAAGGACAGTGGTAAATAATTACTTTTAAAAAAAGTGTGGGACATAAATCAGGAGAAATTTCTCAAAACCGGTATCCGTTCTCACATTTTAAAACTCGACAGCATACCATGGCTAGATCCCTAAAACGTTCATTCATTCCCTAATGGCTATAATAATTAATCCACAGACGTAATGAAACAATAAATGCATTTAAATATCATTTTACGAGTAGAAAAAATATTTCTATGAAATGACCTTGACTGGTGAGGTGAGACATAAAGCGAATAACCTCTGTGAGAAGGAAGTACACCTTCGCTTCCTCATCGTATGTAGATTTGATGGTGATTCCTTCCTGCTTGCATTCCTTTTCCAGGGTCCAGTCCTTCCTTTCCAGGTTGAAACGAAACCTCTCTTGAGCACTTTCCCCTTCGCTCTCGCATTTCTCTTCTCTAGGCTATCGAGCATAGGACATATTTACCCATCTCTCACTGTATCCATGGAAACGAGTCTCAAAAGCAAACACATGCGCTTACGTGGAGGAAGTCCGACATCTTGGTCCACCAAGTACAGACGAGTGACTGATCACGAGGGAAAGGATGACGCAACTGTCGCATAGGATGTACACGGGAGCGAGTGTGGTTGGGTAGTGCATGTCTAACTTGCCGGACGCACGTAAATGCCGCATCTGGCATCCTCCACTCGATACTCTCTCCTGTTTCCACGCTGCCCAGACATGCAATCCATCGAGAACACGTCTAGTCCTCCGGGACTTCGTACATACCCATATCACGTACCAAGGAAAGGCGTTATTCATTTTAAGGTTAGATTGTTAGCATGAGACAAAGAAGACAATTGTATTGGTATAGGTGACAATGGAATGGTATATCTGTACCCGGACTTATATTCCAGTTGGATCATTATTCAATTTATTTAAATTTCATTGCAAATTAGATTATACATTTTTTGCGATGAACAATAATTAATGTTAGAAGAAAATACGGCTGACATGTGCCTATGACATCGAGATAAACGCGTGCATTTTCCTTCCTTAGAAAGACCTGCCCGTTCGTCCACCAGTGGCCGTTAGTGGACGCACGTATTTTATTGATGCAGCCTCTAGGAAAGGATCATTTTCAAATTTGCACGAAAGCGGATATGAGCTTAATAAAATCACAGCAAGGAATATTACTTTACCATCAGTTTCTATTTGAAGGAACAGTAATTTTCTTATTTTTCTAATCCATTTAAAAGTTGCAAATTAACTTCACATAAAAACTCCTTTCATTGGAGTGAAGAGGAGTTTTTGAAATAACGTCTTCATTTCTCGTAGGCTTCGATTTGGAGCTCATTCCTCCCAAGCTGAAAGGCTTCATCTGTTTTGGTGGGAGGAGTCATGCAAGCTTCGAACGGATGCAGTTTATTCGATCGAGACGTGCCACGGAGAGGGTAACATAGGGGAATATGGCCCTTCAATAGGAATCCCATTACTGACTGAATAATTAGTTTGAGCGGATTTTAAAAATATTTATATCAAAGAGTACATGTAATTGTCGATATGTTAAGACCTGTTCATCGACCCAGTTCTTGAAGGAATTCGGGGTGCATCGATGTCTTGAAAGTCATATTCATGCGATTCTTTGATTCGTGACCCTAAACTAATATGAACCTCGAGCAACTTAACCGTATATTTCCTAATAGCAGCATGGATACAGAAACGATTTCTTTTAAGTTAATCTATGGTTTATACAGAAAGCTTGTGCAAAGTGCTAGCCCCTTTCACTTGCGGTTTGCAAGCAGTGTTGTCAGTAATGCAAGCCAACATGGGGGAATATGGCCATCTTGATTTGGGGTAATTTGGACACATCCTTCATTTCATGTTAGCACCGCACTGACCTATTGATTGTGTCAGCTTCCTTTCGTGTGGGATCTCAGGCTGCAAGAGATCATTCAATACACTTCGTATGAATATATGGAAAGACGTACTGGACATCTGGACGAAATATGCTGTGCATGAGGATATCCGCATGAACCTCCTAATGGGCATCGCATTGCTAAACAATCTTCAGAAATTTTTGCTGCACGAAACGTGAATGCAAGTAAATATCCCCCGTACAAATAGGACTTTCAGTGATTTTTTGCCCCTATTTATTCATACATGGGTCATTCCATGCCAATTCGACCAGACCGTCAGCTCGACCAGAACCGAATTAGACAAAAAATAACCATACATGTAGCGGAATGGATTTTAATTGATTTGGCTCCAGGCCTAATATTGGGGAAATCCAAAATGCAGAGTCGAGATAAAGTGAGGATTCCCCTGTTTAAAGAGCATTTGTTCATGTCATTAGGTAACCGTTCCTTTTTGCGACTCCAATGCAAGGCAATATTGAAGTCACGCGTTCGAGGGGGTCTATCGTCTTTTCAAGGGAGTCTTTCGAGGTCTATCGGCCTAAAAAACACTGTATCATCCGCCTTCAAGCTCCGGTTATTGCAGCTCTTCATCAAATTACGTGAGAACTGAAATATGGTCACAAATCTCCAAAAGATACTTCGGCTTGGGAACTTCCTGAGGGCGTGATTGGGACTCACCTTAACGATGGTGAGTTTCTTGCAAGCAGAAAACCATTCGGGAGTGGCTTTTAAGGTGTGGTCTCGCAGTTCTATGAAAAGGGATTCGAACTCGAAATCCAGCACAGTCTGCAACGAGGTCGTGGCAATTTCAAAGCGGACAGTTCACGCATCGTGTGCATCTGACTAAATCAACAAATAACATCAGAGAAAGTGCATGCAAAACTTTTCTGTTTCACTCTCTCTCTATCTACTTTGAACGGATCAGCACTACTTCAATACATGTTTTACATCAGGTCTGACACACTGGATGGGAAGGACAGTGGTAAATAATCCTGATATCTTGACATGTCCCCCATTTGTCCCCCATTTGTTAAAGTGGGGGACATACGAGGTGTGGCTATTATGTTTCCAGACTGGTTTTATTGCTGATTGTAAGTTTAAAAGTAAAAAATACAAAAATAAAGTCTGGAAACTTAATAGCCACACCTCGTATGTCAGGAGATATTTCTCAAAACCGGTATCCCTTTTCATCTTTCAAAACTCGCCTTTAAACCCATGCTTAGATCACTAAAATGTCCACACATTCCATTCTAGCTAAAATAATAATTTACGGAAGTAAAAAAAAAGGAAATTAATTTAAACTTCATTTCATGAACCGAAATAAATACACTTATCGAAGGGCCTTGACTGGTGAAGTGAAATATGAAGCGAATAACCTGTGTGAGGATGAAATACGCCTTCGCTTCTTCATCGTATGTAGATTTGATAGTGATTCCTTCCTGCTTGTATTCCTTTTCCAGGGTCCAGTCTTTCCTATCCAGGTAGAAGCGGAACTTCTTCAGACCACTTTCCCCATCGTTCTCGCATTTCTCTTCCCTAGGCCATCGAGCACACGACGTATTTACCATTCTCTTACTGTATCCATGGAAACGAGGCTCAAAAGCAAACACATGCGCTTACGTGCAGGAAGTCAGACATCTTGGACAGTCAGACAAAGGAATATCTGGTCAAGGGGGAAAGGCGGACGAAACTGTCGGCTAGGATGAAATGGGAATGCGAGCGGGTGGATAAGTCAAGGTCGAGCTAAGCGTGAAAATCACTCATCATCTGGATATCAAGACGATGGGGGACTTCCAAGGACTGTTCTACCAAGTACTACAGAGATGTCGCATTTTATCATAATCATCGTCTTAAACATTCGGGATGTTATAAATTTATCTCCCCAAATGTGGAAATGGAGGTTGATGTGAGGTGGTCCGGCAGGTGAAGGGGAGTATTGAAAATGGTAAACCCCAGCGAACAAACATTTTTTTTAATAACCCGTTATTTTCAGATCTGATTGAAAGCGAAAATATCTCGGATATCCATCTTTGCATATGATGAAGACTATTGGTTAAAATTTCATCAAAATCGAAGAAGGACATGTATTGTCGTGAGTTGGTTTTTCGCTGAATGACTCGAACAGGATTCCGGACTTACTCGATCGGACGAGGAGAGACCGGTCGAGGGAAAAGCGATGCGTACAGGACGAAGAGCTGCACGAGGACTGGTAGGCCTTCGGGTTCCCATTTCTCTTCCGTCTGATATTACGACCTTTTGGTATTTTTTTCTTCTCGGTGGAATGTTGAAGGTTGTGTCCTCTCCTCACGTCTCCAAGCGACGTGGACGCGCGAACCATCAAGATCATGTCTTGCCGTCTAATAAATTTTTACTGATACCTATCACGTACCAATGATTGCGTTATTCATTTCAAGGTAGGTTCATTAGGATGCGTCAAAGAACGTCATTCCGGTTCTATGAGGGCCAATGGAATGGGATATTTGTACATTTGCTGATAGTTCAGTTAGCACATTTTTCAGTTCATTTAATTTTGATTACGATATAAAATATATATGTTTCCAATGTTTCTAACTTGATTTTACTCCTCAAAGCAGTTTAAGTTAAGATAATGCATTATAATCAAGCAGGATCAGTATATCGTCTCAACCCTTACGGAAATGTCCTATAGAAAACCTATAGACTTTCCTAAAGGTTTTTGAAACACGAAAAACCTATAGGATCCCCATAGGGTCTTATAGGTCTCCTGACCTATAGGTTTCAGGGAGGATATTTTGGGCTTCGAAACCCAGGCATTACGAAGGAAAAGGCGACCGGGGTTAATAATGGCGCATCATTTCGGTGTAAATCAAAAACCGATTAGGAGTTTTTCCATGGTAGGGACACACGCATTATAAATGCCAGTACTGCGGGGGGATGCATAATTTACGGCCCCGCCCCACATGTGTCGCTGGATTGCACGTCTACTTCCACCGGTAAAGAGTAGTATTCTTCTCTCGACCTAAGGAAATAGAAGACAGAACCTGCGAGCATGTCTCTATACTGAAACTCCATTCGTACGTGGTTTTCAAAAGGAATACGGGCATATTTCTTCACGGGATTCCATGATTATATCTGGAAAATGGGGATGACAAATAAGGAAGTGTCGAAGTTTATTGATTGCTACAATGAGGAAAGGCGAGACATTTGGGGACNCTATAGGGTTCCGTATAGCACTATAGGGAACCCTATAGCCCCTATAGGGAACCCTATAGCCCCTATAGGGAACCCTACAGGTCCTATAGAGAATCCTATAGGTCCTATAGCGAACCCTACAGGTCCTAAGGGGAACCCAATAGGTTTTATAGGGAACCCTACTGGTCTTATACAGAAACCTTTGGGTCCTATAGGGAACCCTACTGGTCCTATACAGAAACCTTTGGGTCCTATAGGGAACCTATAGGCCTTATGGGGAACCCTATTGGTTCTAAAGGGAACCCTATAGGTTCTATAGGGGAATCTATAGGTTCTATAGGGAACTCTATAGGTCCCAAACTGAACTCTATTTAGCATATAGAATTCCTATATATTCCTTTAGGAGTATATAGGAATCCTATAAGACATTTTGGTAAGGGAAAGTCTTTTATTTAATTAAATTAGAAACGCCACAGCCTGCATTTTTCCAATTCTAATTTGAATTCTACTAGTTTCCTATCTGGACATGATGACAGGATCGTTATATTCCGACTGAAGTGCTGTCAATGGATCCGAATGCGAGACGAGATGTTTGTCCGGTGCAAAGGGAAGGGCGCAGTGTTCTGAGTCTTTCATCGTCTCCAATCGCCCCCTGAACCAGTGTATGGAACAAGTCCATGGGCCCAAGTCGATAATTCTTTATTGCAAGAGATTGGAGGGGGTGTGAGCCATCGAGAGAGATAATGAGGCCGCTCCTAAGGCCTTGGAAACATCCCAAACTCAAAGTGAATCCAAAACCAGATCGGTCTCCGGTTCGGGCTTCTTGGAATCGTGGCTTCAAGGAGGCAAAGAAAGACCTCGAAATTCCACTCGTTCTATTCCTTTTCCGAGGAGACCTTTCCTGAGGAGACCTTTCCGTCGAAAACGCACAGCGCGTGGGAAAAAGAGAGGTGAGAGGCGTTCGGATCCGATTCACCGTTTCCTTGTAAGTTTGCATAGTTGATTTTGTACAAATGGTTTCAGAATTGCGCAGCAGTTACCGAAAAGGCGTCACCTTTCCATCAGTCCTCGCAATGATCTCGTTCGTATCATCCTGATCTCGAGCTTTTTGGCCGTTTAGTGAGACGTATTTGGAACGAAAGCTTAAAAGGCCCATTTTGAATGTACTTTGAATTGAGGTGTATCAGTCCTTCATCTCCAATTCGAAGGAACTTCTCCAGCGTCCACTCGCTTTCCCCCTGAATTCGTCCTCCATGCGCTGCCGAATTATATTTATTTATAGCTTATGGGATATCCCCGGATGACATTTACTTTGCGAAAGGAATGGAAGGCGCAAGAGAACGATACCTGCACTCCTAGAGAAAGCTTGGCATTCTGAGTAACCAGGCTCGAGGGAAAGAATGATGGGAGTATCTGGAGTACATGGAATGTCTGCATGGAATGAAGGAACAGGAGAGCGAGCTGGCCTTGAAAAGGACTCGTTCGGCATCATTATTTCAAGACAATAGGATATGCGCAATATATGGACCACGCCAAACAATGTAAAGAATCCCTGTTTCACAACACAAATGGAAAAAAGGAAACAGCGCAAAGAACGAGTAGACCTACTGTATGTCGAGAGCGGGATCACCCAGTAATGCTTAGTTTAACTGTTGGGTTCACGCGAAACTCGTGAATGGCCAAATGGGAGAAATCGCTGTAACAGGTTGATGGTTGCTCGTTCTAATCTACATTGCGATGCTGTTGCAACCGCTACCACAGAACGCTCGCGGAGTCATGTCCCTATTGCGTCGACTGCTCTCTGGTAGAGAGTATGTGCTGACTATTGGTTCAAATTTCATCAAAATCTGAGAGGATCGTGTTTTGTAGCGAGCTGATTTGACGCTGAATGACACAAAAGGGTTTCTGGACGCACTCAATCGGACGCGGCGAGATCGGTCGAGGGAAAAGCGATGCGTACTGGAAGAAAAGCTGCACGTGGACTGGAAAGCTTTGGGATACGCATTCCTCTTTCAATAGGCTTTTCTTCTCGGTGGAATGTTGTTCGGTTTAAATCCGAAGGGGGTAGGCAATTTTGTTACAGTTGTGTCCAGGTCGAATATCTATAAAGACATACCACTTTAAAAATTATTGTATTCGGTGATGTCCACTTCATTACCTCCTTAGTTGGTTACATTCACGCCATTGCATTTTTTTTTATTTCGTACATGCATGGAACGGAATTCGTCCCATCACTTATTTGTAACATCATTTGTTCATTAAAGATTTTTCAAAACGAATTTTTTAATTTCCAATTCCACACGGCATCGCCCAAATCACAGAATTCACTTCTTAGGAACACAGTCCTGCACCGTCCCAGAGCGAGAATCCCTCCGAACCGCCAGGTACTTCTTCAAGCCCATCACGTACTGCCTCGCCGTCTCGACGTGGAACGGCATGAGGAGCTTCACCGGCACGAGCGGGATCTTGTAGTCCACCGACATGACCCAGCGCAGGTGGGTCCGGGTCGCGAGATCCGGGTCGGGAGAGAACGTCTGGCCGCTGCCTTTCACGATCTCCGCCCTGATTTATGAGGATTTTAATTATGGATTGCTTCGCGTCGGTGTTGATGTTCGAATTTTGTCTTGAAGTCGCAGACATTTTCTCTTTCGTTATAGTACATATTTTAGTTCAACGTAAAGTGTCGAGTTGTCAACGAAATATCAAAACTTGAAGAAAAAATATCTCACAAACAAGGGACACTACCCATGTGATAATTTCAGATTTTCACCCTACTTTGGTCGTTGATAGGGCTCTCAAAACGAAGTCAAACGGCACCAAAACTTGTGGCTGAGAAAAAGGTTTAGGCTCATAATTGACTCTCTCAATTTTAAAGTGATACATGATTATAATAGTCACGGCCCTATTTTCTTTGACTATAACTTTCCAAGGGAAAGTCAGATTCAGGTGATATTTGACGGAGAGGTTCTTCAATGAAGGAGGTTTTTTTCCATGCCGCTAGATGGCGCTGCATGTCGATAGAGGGCGATGATGTCGGCAGCAGCGTCACTTAACTACTAGCTATGCCATTTTTTAGGCACTGGAAAAAATTAGTTGAGGCCTATGAATCTCTCTGCCGATTATCATCGGCATCCGAGATTTTTTCAAAAGATATGGTCAAACAAAGTTGGATAGCAATTAAATTAAATTCAACCTAGCAATTAAACTATTTTTGGGAAAATTTTTAAGGAAAAGTCAGATGCAGCAGATGTTTGACAGAGATGTTTATGGGTCCATGACTTAAACATTCCCTTATCCACCACATGGTTCTACATGTCGACTGGTGGCGCTATGGTGGTAAGAGACGGAGTAAGGTAAGGTAAGAGACGGAGAATAGGAATTGCCTACAAAAAGGAATACATCTTGCATTCACTTCACTCCCACCAAGAGAACATGAAACTCTCAGTGCAGTAACTTCTCATGTTGATGTGCTCTTACTACGTCCCTAGTAAGACTTAAAATTGAATCAACATTGATTCAACGTTGGTTCAACGTCTGGATGTTGAATCAGCGTTGGGTCAATGTTATTTCAATTTTATGCGCTACTATGTGTATTACCAACAAAGAGACTCTGTATGCAAAACCCTCGTGCTCCTTCACATTTCCCTTCGTGTATGCAATCACTACGCCCTCCGTCAATAGGTACGAATATGTTCTGGGCAAGGGAACGAATAGGTCATAGGCACAATAACATCTCTGTCAAATATCAGCTGGATCTAACTTTTCCTTTAAAAGTTACGCCTAAAAATAATTCAATTGTTAGGTCAATATCCAACTTTGTTTGACCATATCTTTTGAAAAACTCTTGGATGCCGATGATAATTGGCAGAGATTCATAGACTTGAACGAATTTTTCCCAGTGCCTAAAAAATGACATTGCTAGTATGTAAGTGGCGCTGCTGTCGACATCATTGCCTTCTATTGACATGCAGTGCCACCTAGCGGCATGGAAAAAAAAACCGACTTCACTGAAGACACTCTCGGTCAAATATCACCTGAATCTGAATTTTCCTTGGAAAGTTACAGTCAAAGAAAATAAGGCCATGACTATAATAATCATGTATCACTGAAAATGAGAGAGCCAGTTATGAGCCTAAACCTGTTTCTCAGCCACAAGTTTTGGTGCCGTTTGACTTCGTTTTGAGAGTCCTTTTAATGACCAAAGTTTGGTGAAAATCTGAAATTATCATTTGGGTAGTGTCCCTTGTAAGTTCCTTTCAAGAAATAGCGTTGAATCGGCGAGTATATTTACTTCGTGGTTCCTATGGATATAAACAAAGACTAGGAAACATCACGTTCTCAAAGTGAATCCAAAACTAGATCAGTCTCCGGTTCTGGAATCGTGGCTTCAAGGAGGCAAAGAGAGACTTCGAAATTCCATTCGTTCTCTTTCTTTTCCGACGAGACCTTTTCGTCGAAAACGCACAGCACATAGGAAAAGAGAGGTGAGAGGCGTTCGGATCCGATTCACCATTTCCTTGTAAGTTTGCATTGTTGATTTTGTGCAAATGGTTTCAGAATTGGGCTGCAGTTACCGAAAAGGAATCACCTTTCCATCAATCCTCTCCATAACCTTGTTCATATCGCCCTAATCTCTCCAGCGTTTTGGTCGTTGAGAGAGACGCATTTGGAAAGAAAGCTTGAAAGTCCCATTTTGAATGCACTTTGAACTTGCGGTGCATGTAAATGTAGCTATCATCGTGTAAATTCCTTTTGCATCATCTGGAACCCCATTCAAGTGCGAAACGACCCCTTCCCTCAAGCATACTCCTTGAGTAGATTTTAAATGAAGTAGCTTTTCAAATACGACTTTAATGAAAGAAAAAGCTTGTTTACCTGATAATCTTCTTCTTGGATTGCATCCCCGGCCACTCCGTGCTGCACAGGGAGATAAAGCTCGCCTTCCCGATCTTCCGCACGTGGCTGTGGAAGACGACGTCCCGACTGGCGACGATGCCCCCGAGCTGCGGCTCCAATACCTCGTGCACCACCCAACACACCTCCGTCAGTCGCTGTCAGACGGGGAGTCGATCATTATCGTTGCGAAACGATCAAGTATCGAATTCGTTTCTGTATCCTATCATCCTGTCTTTGAAATCATTATGCGCTTCTCCGAACGCGGCTCGCTCTGGAGTGACTGAAAGCAACTAGAAAATTCCCTCAATGCAGTTATGAGCTGAGGAATTCCAGGGGGAACTTAAAAAAATAATTGTGTTTTCCCTGAGTCTCTTTTGGGTCAATTTCCTATAAACTGGATTCGATACGAGGTAGGTCATAACATCATATTGGGTCACCATCGGTCGCCAAGGTATACTGAATCCCCATAGGTCACAATCTGCCACTTTCTTTTAACTTGACTCAGTCCGGACGGAAGCTGGTATGCTTGGTTCGCCTTTAGATAATTATGTTCAAGTTAAGTCAATGTAAGTCACTTTAAGTTGCTCATTATCATTATATGACTTCGAGATAAAGAACTTTCGCATTCCACTATCAGTCCAGATTGGCTTGCCATTTTTAGGTAATCTAGGCTCTAGAAAAGACGACCACGTCATTACCGGATGGCTCCAGGCCTTACACTTGTACGAGGTATATTAGGGAAGCCCAAAATGCGGAGACGAGCTGTGTAACGGCATGTCTTGAAGTGAGGAATCTCTTGTTTAATGGACATTTGTTCTTGCCCTTAGGTTGCCGTCATTTTTTATGTGACTCCTCGAGGTCTATCGGCCTAAAAAACATTGTATCTTCCGTCTCCAAGCTCCGGTTATCTCAGGTCATCATTGAATTACGTGAGAGCCGAAATATGCCCAAAATTTTCAAAATTTGTTTCGGCAAGACGCATCCACGGGAGCTTCTCGGTGGCGTGATTTGAACTCACCTTGACGATCGTGAGCTTCTTGCAAGCAGAAAACCATTCGGGAGTGGCTTCAAAGGTGTGGTCTCGCATTTCTAGGAACAACCACTCGAACTCGAAATCCAGCAGGGCCTGCAACGGGGTCGTGGCAATTTCAAAGCGGACGGTTCGTGCATCGTATGCATGTAACGAAATCGACCAATAACATTGGAGAAAGTGTTCGCAATCTTTTCTCTCTCGCTCTCTCTCTCTCTCTCTACTTTGAGTTGATCCGCACTACTTCTATATATATTTCATATCTGGTATGAGACAGTGGAAGGGAAAGATAGTGGTAAATAATGGCTGGAATAAAAAGTGGGGGACATATATCAGAAGATATTTCTCAAATCCGGTATCCCTTTTCATCTTTCAAAACTCAACTTATACCCATGCATAGATCACAAAAATTTATTCATTCCATTCTAGCTAAAATATTAATTTACGAAAGTAAAAAAAAAAAGAAATTATTTCAAACTTTCAGGAATCGAAATAAATAAATATATATATATATATATATAAAATGGCCTTGACTGGTGAGGTGAAATATGAAGCGAATAACCTCTGTGAGGATGAAGTACGCCTTCGCTTCTTCATCGTATGTAGATTTGATGGTGATTCCTTCCTGCTTGTATTCCTTTTCCAGGGTCCAGTCTTTCCTCTCCAGGTTGAAGCGGAATTTCTCCAGAGCACTTTCCCCTTCGCTCTCGCATTTCTCTTCTTTAGGCTATCGAGCATGATTCCTTCCTGCTTGTATTCCTTTTCCAGGGTCCAGTCTTTCCTCTCCAGGTTGAAGCGGAATTTCTCCAGAGCACTTTCCCCTTCGCTCTCGCATTTCTCTTCTTTAGGCTATCGAGCATACGAAGTATTTACTCATCTCTTACTTTAACCATGGAAACGAGGCTCAAAAGCAAACACATGCGCTTACGTGCAGGAAGTCAGACATCTTGGTCGACGAAGAAGAAGCTTCTAACCACGCGGGAAAGCCGGACGTAACTGGCGTCTTGGATGTTGACGGGAGCGAGAGCGGATGGAAAAGAGAAGATCGTCTTAAATCTTGCAATACAACAGAAAATAACGGATTTAAATATTTGAAGTTATGCTTATGGTTCTTACACATTTATTTCCCCAAATGTCGAAATGGAGGTTGGGGGAGGTGGTCCGGGGTGTGGGGGGAGTATTAAAAGTGGTAAGCCCTAGATGAATAAATAAATTGTTTAATAACCCGTAATCTTCAGATCTAAATGATTGAAGTCGAAAATATTTCGGGTACCAATCTTAGTATATGATGAAGACCATTGGTTAAATTTTCATACAAATCGAAGGACATGTATTGTAGTGAGTTGGTTTTTCGTTGAATGACTCGAACAGGATTCCGGGACTCACTCGTTCGGACACGGAGAGATCGGTCGAGGGAGATGCGATGCGTACAGGACGAAGTGCTGATCGAGGACTGGTAGGCTCTCGGGTCCGCATTTCTCTTCCGTCTGATATTACGACCTTTTTGTTACGTTTTTTTTTTTCTTCTGG